TGTGATCTCCAGTATCGCTGCTTTGGAGAATCAAATGAAAATGATTGATTCTGTCATGAACTGTCAGCAGCTGACCAGTTTAAAATCCATAGAAAACGGATCAGGGGAAAGTGACCATTTGAGCAATGACTCCTCATCGGCTGTTGGTGATCTCGAAAGCCAGAGTGCAGGCAGCCCTGCAATGTCAGAGTCTTCTTCCTCCATGCAAGCTTTGTCTCCTGTAAATAGTAACAGTGAAAGTTTTAGATCAAAGTCCCCGGGTCTCAGCAACCAGGAAGAACCACAAGAAATACAATTAAAGACTGAAAAACCAGACAGCCCACCACCTGCAACTGAAAATGGAGGCGCGTTAGATCTGACATCCACCAACCCTGGAAGACCGGTCATCAAAGAGGAGGCTCCTTTTAGCCTGCTGTTCCTGAACAGAGAACGTGGTAAGTTTAAAAGTACTGTTTGTAATATCTGTGGCAAGCCTTTTGCTTGTAAGAGTGCATTGGAAATTCACTACCGCAGCCATACTAAAGAACGTCCATTTGTTTGTACAGTCTGCAATCGTGGGTGTTCCACTATGGGTAATTTAAAACAGCACTTACTGACGCACAAATTAAAAGAGCTGCCTTCTCAGTTATTTGAACCCAACTTTACTCTAGGTCCCAGCCAAAGTACTCCTAGCCTGGTCACCAGTACAGCGCCTACCATGATCAAAATGGAAGTGAATGGTCACAGCAAGCCGATCTCTTTGGGTGAGGTTCCCTCGCTTCCAGCTGGAATCCAGGTTCCTGCTGCACCACAGACAGTGATGAGTCCGGGGATCACCCCCATGCTGGCACCCCCCCCTCGCCGCACTCCCAAGCAGCACAACTGTCAGTCTTGTGGGAAGACCTTCTCCTCAGCAAGCGCACTGCAGATACACGAGCGCACCCATACTGGTGAAAAACCGTTTGGTTGCACAATCTGTGGTAGAGCTTTTACCACAAAGGGGAATCTTAAGGTAAGAGGCCAAATGCAACTGTAAAGGCTTGGGGGGATTGAGGTACTGTACTTGAACTTGGCCGATTTTAGGGCTGAATGTGTGTCCCAGAAACAGGAAAAAAGGGAGATTCAAGGCTCGTTGTATGCCGGTGTGTTTCATGCTTCTCCTGTGTTAAAGATAGGGACCGAAAAGAGGCTGTGCAAGGATGTGCTCTTTAAAACTGCTTCTGAGTGTATGCACACGTACACAGTGTGTTTTGTCTGACAATCATGATGTACAGACAGTCAGCTGGTATGCATGCTCTGGCAGTTCTTGTGGAACAGCACTGAAAAATAAGCTCACTCTAAACCAGAAATGCAGAACTATCTCAGCAACTAGTGTGCCTGTCACAGAATTCCATTTTCTGTTCTGCTTTGAGGGCACTGCAGACTAGAAAGCAGTTTCCCACTGATTTACAGCAGGTCACTGCAGGACTCGTGCCTCCTGTTCCCGCAGTCTGGTTAACCACCTGGACACAGCCTGGGGAATACACTTTTAACTGTCCTGAAGTTCCTGTTTTTAATATTATATTTAGCAAAACGATTGATGCATTTGATGTGAGATAAAATATTAAGAGAAAAGATGTTGAAAGGGAACGGGCAGAAAAAATGCCATCTCCTAGTATGAGTAAAAGCACTTGGTAATCTTCACCATGAAGAATTTCCAGCTTGCATACGAGACTGTCCAAACCTAAAAGGATGCATATGCTTTGTTCTTTTGGTGCACACTGAAAGATTATTACGGAGCTGGATTTTCCTTTGCACAGCTTGACCAGGCCTTAGAACCGTGTCTTAACTGGAATTGATTTGTTTCCAATGTGAACTAAAAGACTTTTTTTAAAACCAGAATTAAAAGACCTTTTCTAAAAGCAAGGGGCTCAGCCCAGCCACTCATCTGGAAGATGCTAATGTGAGGGTGTTTCTTGTCCCATTTGCATTGCAGGTTCACATGGGAACGCACATGTGGAATAATGCACCTGCACGCCGTGGCCGTCGCCTCTCCGTGGAAAACCCCATGGCTTTGCTGGGTGGTGATGCACTGAAGTTCTCTGAAATGTTCCAGAAGGATTTGGCAGCTCGGGCCATGAACGTTGACCCCAGTTTTTGGAACCAATATGCTGCAGCTATCACAAATGGACTTGCCATGAAGAACAATGAGATTTCTGTCATACAGAACGGAGGCATTCCCCAACTCCCAGTAAGTCTTGGTGGAGGTGCCATCCCACCTCTAAGCAACCTTACCAGTGGCATGGACAAAGCTCGCACAGGCAGCAGCCCTCCCATTGTTGGCTTGGACAAAGCAAGTTCTGAAACTGGAGCCAGTCGTCCATTCACCAGATTTATTGAGGATAACAAAGAGATTGGCATAAATTAAAAGCATTCGTTACGAATAACTGTTGGACCACTACTCAACGCAACACTTGTCCTGTTCCATGTACAGCTTTTGAAGTTAAGCATTAGTTTCCTGACCTAAATGCATAGGTTCCCCTTAAAATTTTACCTGTAGCAGAAATACCCAACTTTGTGGCTGCTGAAAAGTTGTCTTGCAAGATCTGCATGGTACTTCTTTCAACAGTGAGTTTGACTGTTATTGAGAACTGTGAAACCATTTAATTTAACAGAAACAAAAAAACAAAAAAACCATTGGATAACTTCATTAGAAACAGAAAGAGGCTAGTCTACGTCCACTTTCTTCTTAGGAACCTTAATATCAACTGAGAGAGGGGGCTTCGCTATGGCATTCTGTCACACTTGCTGGTTTTGTTCAAATTAGTTAGCAACTTGGACTATGTTTTTAGGAATCTTAATCTCAAATAAGTGATTTAGTACCCCAATGCTGTGTATTATTACAGTATCCTTGTCTGTAGTATTTATAATGTTAAGACTATGCGGGTAACAGACAATATACTAGCCCCAAATTTAAATGAAGCTCTTGTACTGCAAAATACATCTGGTTATGTGACCTTTCTTTTTCTTTTCTTTTCTCTCTCTCTCTCTCCCTTTTTCTTTTTTTTTTTTTTTTTTTTTTAAAGCAAGTCTTGTTTTACTATAAATAAGTGGTTTATTTTAATGCAGACAAAATTGTGAAGTTTTATTGGGAAAGATAGCATGCTTTTCATGTGCAAGTACCTGTCAGTAACAAACTTTTTTTTTTTAATTTAAGTATTTGTAGCTGCTATGTGGACAGTTGTTCTATTAAATGAAAAAAAAAAAAAAATGTAGTGTGGACTTTAGCTCAATGATTGGAAAACAAGTTACAGACAAACCTTAGCACCATAAATTATTCACAACATAATAAAGAGTTGTGAGTAAATACTTCATGTTATCAAAGCTGTACAATAAAAAGGTAATGTTTGTATAATGTGGTTGCAAACTCTTAATTTATACTACTGCACTTTTAGTATTTTGTATTAGGGAGGTTTGTCTATAATTTGAAACTGAACTAAGATGTAAACTATTTTATAAATAGTACTTTGACTTAAGGAATAACGGGGGAAGCCCTGTTACACTTTCTTGTTTTGTTTTAAGGTCAAACAATGAGAGCTCTCTTAACTAAGCAGAAAAGCTGCAGAGAACTGTCAGATCCTTAGGAAAAATGGGCCTGCCATTTCTTAAATTGAAATGATTCATTTAACTTTCCTACAAAGCCCACTTAAAAGCGTGACCACCCCCAGCAGAATTCTGATGCATTTATCTTAGGAGTGTGATATTAATACAAGTCTAGGATAGATGACAGAGAACATTGCGTAGGTTTAATTTGACTGTGATCTGTTCTATCTTTCACACACACCCACCAGAAAGATGTTGACTGCCTAATAATGCGGGGAAAAAAAAAATAATAACTTTAGGGCAGCATGAGCTGTAGTTTGTTATGTGTTTATTTCCAACTCTCACTGATTATCTTCTCAGATCGCTCTGAAGCACAATATACTCTGATTAATCGAATATGATTTTATGTTGATTGCATTCTTTCAATTACACTGAGTAAATAAAGGGAATGGTTCCACTCATAAGTCAGGCTGGGGATGCTGAGAAGACTGGGGCTTGATCAAAACTTGAACAGTAAACATTTTGTGTACTACCTCATTTTTGTGCATTACAAACGTGGTGGAGTCTGACACTATGAACTTCCGTCCAGCAGAATTGCTTGAGGGACGTTATGGGTAGCTGGGTAACAGCACAAGGAGTTTTATGCCCCTGCGGAGTGAATCAGACAGTGAGGTCTTCTCATTTGAGACTGAAAAAATAAGACAATCTTTCTTACACAACAAAAACTTACTGTAAGAGGATGGTCTGTTTCTGCCATCGTGTAATGGAGTGCAAAGAGTTTCAAGGACTTACTAGCTGTTTGTTTCTACTGGAAATGAGCAATGAACTATACGTCTCCATTTTTTACAATGATGAGATAGATATATAGATATACATATCTATATATAAGCAAAATTATGTATCTATAATGCCTCTACAACATAACATCTTTCTTTTGCCACAGTGTGTGAGTGGTTAGGGGTGTTTCCAAGCATTTTGAAAAAGAAAACTGAGGTGGCTTAATGTTGCTGCATTTCAGCAATTGAATGTTTTTATTTATCTGTGTCATTTTTGGTGTGAGTTTTTCTGTTAGTATTTGGTACCATGTAGTGTTATCTTTATTCCCTAAAGGATGTGTATAACTTAAAAAAAAAAACAAAAAAAAAGTTAAAAAAAAAAAAAAGTTAAAAAACAAACAAACAAACAAAAAAAGGTTTAAAAAATAAAAGAAATAAAAAGGGGGGAAAAAAAAAGAAAAAACAAAAAAAAGATGAAAGATGTAAAGTGTTGTAAATAAGATGGTTGATGATGGTACAGTAAGACTGAGCCCATTTTGTATTCAGGGTTAGGTCATTCCTCTCTGCATGGTGAAGAGAGACACTATTTTTATACTGTGATACCATGTAGGGCTAGGAGCCTCCCTGAACCAGCTGGGAATTGTTACTTAGATCCAATATTTTTTATTATTGAATCTTGTTGGCTTGACACACCTACTGATTGAAATGGATGTCTTAGTCTAGGTTACTATTTTTGTCATATGGAGTTGAATAAAATGCAGGATGTAATATTATTTCTGAATCGCGTTCCTTGATTATTCTAATAACAGTGTGAGATAAAGAGAATGAGGTCACTTGTGGTAGATTGGTGTCAATGGCTTCTAATCGTTGCATCTGAAAACTGGAATAAGGTTGACACCTTGTATTTAAATGCTGCTCTAATGTATATTAGCGGTGCAAAGGGGTAGAACTGTTCAAGTCTCTTTTCCAATGAAAATAAATCCTCAGAGCATTTCATGCAAGACAGTAGAAGGAAAAAACAAACAAACAAACAAACAAAAAACCGACTTGGAGGAGGGAAAGCAGCCTTTGGAAGTATTACTGCTTCAAACTGACTGCATTCTGCACACTTTTTATGTTCTGTTTACAGCAGAAGGTTGATTTTCACGTTGTTTCAACATCTACCTAAAATCCATTACGTGCTGCGTGATATAAAATTTGAGAACAAATTGGTCAGAAGTTCAAATCCAAAAATTCAAAATTAAGAACCAAATTAGCAACTCGCATCCATTCATTCCAAATGACATATTCTGTATAATAAAACCTATGGCTTTTTTCTTTATTTTATCAAGACCCCAATTCATCAAGGCATGCCTAACTTTAACCAAATTATTTTTTCATGCCAATTTAAATGTAACTTTTACATTCTTGAGGATAGGCATACGATTAAATATCTCCTGCAAAAACCTCTGCCTTCAAGCTGCTATGATCTGGTGACGGATGCCTGCTGCATTTAAAACGGACAAAAAATAAAGAAAAGCAAAGAAAAATCTGACTTAATTATCTTTTAGTGGCCTTGCTATGAAAATACTCTGTTCTATAAGGTCTACTCAGAGAAGGCACGAGTTTCCTCTGGTGAATCAACAACAGGTTTTTGCTTGTGCTTAAGTCCCTGCGTGCACATCTCTGAGCCTTGCTGAGAGAAATCCTGACGTGCAAAAAAAGAGAGGGCTCTGATAGTTACAATACTGTTCAAAACACAGAGAAAAGTTTTCTGCCTTCCCATCCTCCCCCACCAATGCTATCTATCCTTAAGTAAGCAGTGGGGTATTTTTGTTCTTATAGGAAGACGTTAAAGAATTTGAATAGGTAAATGTGTTACACAGGTAAAAATAGTCAAAGTCTGCTGAATTACAGATGTTTAAAAATAGAGCCATGTAGGAATTCTGTAATCAGAAAGTGATGCAAGTTTTGGTATTTTCTGGGGAGGGTTATTTTACTTTGTGAAAATTTCAGCAATGCTTACAAACTCTTCACTTACTTTTTTCCCACAAGTGATTAGAAATAGAGTATTTATGACAAATGAGTGACAGTGACATCATTACTTTTTTACCTGTTTGTGTTTGGTTTTTTTTTCCCCTTTTTTCTCTGTGTGTGTATTAGCCCTCAATACAATAGCTATTCCTTCATCTATTTTGTCCTTTCCATCTTGGCAAATACTTTGCATTCCTACGGCTGCATTTGTTTTGTATTTCTGTTGACTTTAATTTACTTCTCTGCATGTACTCTGCCATTTGGAAGATACTGTGGGTTTTGGTTGTTGGTTTTTCTTTTTTTTTTTCCTTTTTCTCTAATTCTGCTAAAGTCAAAAGATGTACCTTTCTTTTTCTTTTTTTTTTACACCTGTGTGTAATGCTAGGATAATGAACGATGAAGTAATCAGTGATATGATCAGGTATGTGTATAGCTCACAGGATGCCCTAAGAAACGTGCCATTCACACTTTTCTTTAGATGAAGATGTAAAGTTTGGTAGTGTGCTGGTACAGATATTCAGGAGAATGGAGACTTTCATCCTAACTTCACCACACCTGCTGTTACACCGCTGGAAACTCCATGGCCTTCAGTGGAGATACTCCAAATGATTAGCTATGTAGTATATTGAAAGTATGTCTAGACAAAAGTATCCTGGACTTTATTTTTAAAAAGAGGGAAGAGATAATATGTATATTTTAGTACACACTGCAAGATTATTAAGGAAGTCATGAAATCTGAATCTGAAAAACATGACCGTGCCCTTTAATGTAGAATTTGATGTGAGAACGTCATGTGAATAATTGGTCCCTTCTCACATAAATGAGTAAAAGAGCTAAAAACTTCTATGTATTAAGTAGAAAAATGTGAAAAGCTTGCTGTGAGATTGCTACACAACATACACACTACCACGCAAATGCTTTTCCTTTGCATATGCTAAAGGTATCAGCAGATTAATTAAAAGAATAAAATTTGTGCAGCTCCAGCGCATAGTGTTTTATTTTTTCAGAAGGCATAATGGATCGATCGGTTGGCAAA